GACCTGTAAATGACTGTGTGGAGTGTGTGGAGTGTGCAAATTCTTGGAAACGTTGATTGTTTTTCGCCGTAGTAGAAAACAATACAAACAAGCAAGGGACACACACACACGCACACACACACACACACACACACACACACACACACACACACACACACACACACACGCACACACGCACCACACACACACGCACACGCACGCACACACACACACACACACACACACACACACACACACACACACACACACACACACACACACACGCACACACGCACCACACACACACACACACACACACACACACACACACACACACACACACACACACACATGAACAATAATAGTACTATAAAGACGCAAAATTATTGACATATGCGACCACATGTACATGATTGTATTCGTGATTATGTTGCAAAACCTAGAAATAATACATGCTGTGAACGGCTACATCTGTACACACATGACATTGTGCATGCGTGTACCATTAGCACTATGACACCACCAGTGGGAGACACTCTAGAACGAACAACACAAAACCGATGGCCAGAGGCCCGGTGGAAATGTACCCCTTGATTCAAACACACAAACCAACCACATTACGAACTGCCGCTTACTTTTCTCTCGCCTCCTCCTCAATGGAGATGGTTTTCAGCGGGTGATGCAAGCTACTTGTTCCCCCCGCTGCCGATGCCATGATATGGAGGCTGGAGGCTAAAGCAGATCCGCTTGCCACTGCTCCGGGACTAGCTCCAGCAGCCGCTGCGGCTCCAGCTGCGGACGAAGCGGAGGCAGTCGTGGTTGGGGTCGGCGTCGTGAGCTGCTGGGTACCATTTCCAACACTAGATGGCGCGGAGCCTGTACTCCCTGCTGCTGCTGCTGCTGCTGCTGCAGCTGCTGCTGCAGCCGTTGAACTGTTGGCAGTTGTCGTACTAGCATTGGAAGATGACATTGCCGTGGCTGTTGTCGCCGCCGCTGCTGCTGTGTCCTTGGCAAGTTGACTTGCAGCGCTCGAATTTTTGCTTTTCATTGTGGCTACTGAGTTTAGTGAGCAGTTAGCGGTGTTGAGCAGCTAGCGCTGTGAAAAATACTACAGCCGTCACTGGGAAATACCCGTAATCAATAAAAGTCGCTAACATCAAATGGGTCAACACTCCACGGCTACATTGCGATTGCTAGCGAGCTGGAGTTCTGTGCAGAGAAACGCGCGCAGATAATAATATCCACGGCACGTGTTCGTTCGCGCTCCAACTAAAAACAGGGAACGCTGACGATTGGGACTGGGCAGGAGAGAGATAGCGCACTTGTTTCACGACCATTCACGCTAGCTAGTAGTAGTAGTATCACTCCACACAGCATTGAGCGCACGGCGAGCGGCTATCAGTACCAGGCCTGCTAACATTTGCCAGTGAAGTCCAGCAGGAATGATGGCCGACGAGAAACTGGGGCATTATCGTAGCTAGGTACTGTGCTAGCTGTAGTTAGAAAGGATGATTTTTGAAGTGGAAAACCTAGTTGTCCCTTGGGTGCAAGCACCCCAATGCAACTGACTGCACAGTCAGTGCACTGCCAACTCACTGAACGTGAGGACACACTCGATAGCTTGTGGCTCAATGTAGCTGAACCATCGGACCTTATTTGTCAGCTTGGATCACGTGATCCATCCAGCTGCCGCGTGCGGCAAACACTGGAAACAGCCCAAATAGCGCTAACTCTGACCTGCGAGCGTTTGCTGCGACTAGCGCGCTAGCGCTCGTGACATACACAAACGCGCTAGCCAGAGGCAGAATGCTTTGACTTTGATGGCTTTCAGCTTCTATTTTTTGAAAAGTAGCGCGCTCAGACCAGCTCGCTCACTCTTTTCCTCTTCCATTTTTTAGGGCAATTGTTTTGTTTGATAGACGAAGCTTAGGGTCTCTTTGGGTTTGCAACCCTTACCCTCCTGGAAAAAATCATAGTTGCTAGACTGCGACACTTCAGACCAGGTACTATTAGAGCCGCTAATGGACGACGAGCTATTTTCCGCTATCCGGAGCTCAAGCATTTGAGCCGCTAAATGGACGAGACTCCTGCGGCAAAGGATGCAGAGAATGAGGAGAAAACACTCGTATGGAGCAGGGAGTAGGTATTGTACTACTTCCTGGTATGGAGCACTGAGAAGCGGTAAGTCTTAGGGCAATTCTTAGCCAGTAATTACTTTCTCGCCATAATTATGTTCTCGTTTTTCGTGTCTTCTGTAATGCCAGTACACTAGCAGTACGACTACACTGTAGGCGAGAGTCCATAAGCCAGAGTGTGCAGCTCTCCATCTATGCAGCATAAACAAATTAATGACAAATTTCCTTTGCCTAAGGGCTGGGTTCCACTGCCGCTCCGCCGCACATCATCCACGGCATGAAACGTCATCATTACGAGCTGGTCCAGCGAGGCCGCGGCTCATCACCAGCTTTCGCTTCGCTGCTTGATACAAAAAAACGCAAGCTGCGGTCACGGCTTGCATTGTTTCCCGCACTCAATTGTTTTATTCGGGGGAATTTTAATTCGTTGCACAGGCCAGAACACGAGGATTTTTTTGGATTTCACGCGCGCGCAGGCAGGCTAAATGTCATCAAAAAACATCGAGCACGATCGCGGTACCGTGAATGGCGAGTGTCACTGGAACCACGCCGCTCTGCTGCATGCAGCCAAGTACCGTGGAGCAGCGGAGCTGCGGAGCCGCAGTGGAACCCGGCCCTAACCAAACTTATAGCAATTTGAAAATGTTTGACAATTTTTCATAAAAAAACTTGACAACATTGTTCTTCTGTAGAGTGCCGCTGGCAACTCCATCAATGAGCGCAGGGATAAAGTTTAGAAACCCTTCGAGCGAGAACGTGTTTTCAAAAAGGAAGCACAAATATGCCGCGTAACTTCCCCTCTAGTATGGCCCCATCAAAGCCACTCGCTGACTACTTACCAGTAAAATGGGGTTGGACGGTTGTCAGATTAGCTGATATGTTTTCTGCCAACACAACCATAAGCAGTTGTCAACTCTCAAGACTAAAAGAGCTTGCGAAGAAAGTGAGAAACCTTGGCTATGAAAGCACATGAAGCGTCAGAAGAGCAGGTACTGCATACCCTATCATATCTGTGTACATGGGTATACAGAGTCAGTGTTGTTGCGTCCCACTCAGCACCCTTCTGGTTCATTTCGGCACCAGCACTCTTTGCGTATGCAGAGCTGAGTAGAGTGCAAGTTCGGACCACAAGTACACTGTAGCAGCTAGTAGCAAACCTAACCTGTGCCGTGATGCACGGTACTTGTGTGCATCTACTTCATCCCTGAGTAACACACCTGGTATATGGTGCACAATAGGGCACAGTAAATAATCAGCATGCATCGCAGTTTTCTGCAACATATTCCTGAAGTCACTTTACACCTCAGAAGAATTGCGTCGCTGACTGGAATTCGATACCGGTTTAGTTTCTCTCTGGGTCATTATGAATCATAGAAAACCCGTCATACAATAGGTTCAAGCTAAAGTACCGTATCACCATGGTAATTCCTGGAAATTCGGTGTGTTTTCTGCCTTTTGTTAAACAAGCAGCAATGTGCAACAGAAAGTACCATGGTGATACAGTAGATTACCATGTGAAGCGGTGTGAGATGCAGCAAAGGTGAGCCTGTTACTGTGAGTCTATGCCCTAAACAATAAACTTTGCCGTGGGATGATTATCCTTGGGCTGCACACTCTGCACACTTATTGCTAGGTATATCATTGGTCTTGTTCGGATCGTCCATTACGTTTGCAGCTGTTCAAACTTGTTTTGTTGTGTATTACTTTATTGATTTATTTATTCTACTTGCCTTTCCTATCTTCTTGTGTTTTAGCATTAGGCGATTTGATCGCAGGACAAGAGAGGAGCTGATGGACGATCTCTCCAATGTCCCTCTTGGTTCGGAGCAGCGCCGAGTGCTGACGTTGGGACTTGGGTAAGGATGAGTGTTCCCTCATGTTTACAAGTTATCCGTTTTGTCCAACACTAACGGTTATATGCAGAATACTGCTGAGTCAAAAATGTGCAACAATTAGCACAAAAACTGACTGATGAGATCCTGACATTCAACGACCTGATGCTTAGCTGCATCACGTTTATATCCGTAAGTGTTGGATGAAACGGATAACTCGTAAACTGATGGTCCTCTTTTTCAATTTTAATCCTTGGCTCTCCATCCGAGTTCCCTCGTGTGTGTAGCTATTATTATTTTTTTGGTGACAGTCAATTTTTTCTTCAGACTTTTCCCGTTTGTGTCTTTCCCTCAAACTAGTCAATATTTTTATTTACTTATTTTTTTGCCCAGGCTCTACATTCCGCCTTTATTTTACTTAGACTAGGGTTAGCTGTCCGTCTACCAGTACTCATCCACACATTTGTGCACATAGGGTCTACACAGAACTCTATCAGTAGATATTTTGTGTATAGGGGGTTGTCTATCCACCGAGATAGCACTATATACTCGCATTCTGTGTGTTCTCTGGTAGCTATGTCCCTTGGAGACTATACGGTGTCAGTGTGGTGACCGAGGTCAGGCCGTGTCTGCACTGGCATCGTCAACTTTGCCTACTGCTACGTGCTCCCCAGTGCTCCATCTGTGTCCTGTAATTTGTTTGGGGAGGGGGGGGGGGCAATACCGGTACTTCAGGTGCAGGGGGCAAGGGGGGAATGGGGTGGGGGACATCATGCCCCCAATGAACCTCTCCAGGCGTTGTTCTGGAGTAGACTAACCATAGGCGGAGTGTACACATGCAGCACATAGTTTGGGAGCTAGAACGCGATCGGACTCAGGCATATTCAAAGGCAGTCTATTGTGATAGTAGTCCTGGACTGATCTCACTATGATGATATAGGCCATGCCCAGCATCACAATGCCAAACATTATAAATGACTGTTTTTTTTGCCTGAGGGGCTAGATGAGCATGCGGCTAGACTGCCGATGGCAACCAACAGGCTCAAGGCTGTGTTGAGACTTCGTGTGAGCGACCCGAGTCAATTGTTTACTCGCCATGACTAGGCATCGCATTGAGCATCGTATGCCCACTAATATTATGTCACTGTTCTTAGTCGCACCGGGGGCGCATGCCCGTTTTCAGGAGACTTCTCAAAACACATAAGCCCTGGGTCCTGAAGGTTAGGCCTATTGTTAATCTAAATAGTCCTGGCTACTATCCCGCTGAGTTCACTGACTTTCTACTGAACCCGTATGTATGTGAGGAAAGTACTGTTCTGACCTCAACTGCGGATTTCATCAACTTGGTAGAAGGTTTGCCTGTGCGGGACGATCATTTATAATTGAGTATAGATGTGACCAGCCTTTACTACACCAACATCCCCAACGAGCTCGGTTGTCGTGATATATCACACACAGGTGTACAAGGTGGATGCCCCTCGCCCATCGTACATGGTTATTAACAGCAGTGACTTCCTTGATGTCAGTCATTCGGAAGAAAAATGAGTTCGTGTATGGTAACGATGTGTTTCGGCAGATCCAAGGGACTGCCATGGGTTCGCCTGCAGCAGTGGTCTATGCCGACATTGTTATGCTGTATTTGGAGAAGCGGTACATTTTGCCGATCTTAGAGGGGGAGGGTTTAGAGGTTCAGGTTTATAGACGCTTTATCAGTGACATTTTTGTTTCATTGCATGGTTGCGAAGGTCAAGTTCAGCGCGCTTTAGACAGGATTAATAAGTGTTCGGCCCTCGAGTTTGCGCATGAACTGGCACGTGATGGCATTGATTTCCTGGACACCACAGTTTTCAGACGCTTTATCATTGCATGGTTGCGAAGGTCAAGTTCAGCGCACTTTAGATAGGATTAATAAGTGTTCGGCCCTCAAGTTTTCTCATGAACTGGCACATGATGGCATTGATTTCCTGGACACCACAGTTTTCCGTAGTAAGGGATACATGGCGGTGAAGCCTCATTTCAAGTTCACCAATCGTTTCCTGTATCTGCTTGTCGGTAGTAACCACCCCTGTAGTATGGGCAAAGGTGTGTTCACTGGGGAGTTGATCCGTATCCGTCGGTCTTCGACCCTTGACCACCACTACGAAGCTGCTGCCGAGCGGCCGAAGCAGGCTTTCCGGGCCCGTGTACACAAGCGCTCCATCTTTCATCTTTCAGACCCGTACACTAGGAATGGATGCGCAGGGGAGGTATGTTGGTCAAATTGGCATGGGTTTGGGTTATTTCTGTAGTTGTATACAGTGCTCCTCATTGTATTTACCTGGGCCCGGCCTGCTGTCCTTCGCCCGTTGGTCTTGAGGTCCAGGTGTAATACCCCTACCATACAGTCCGGTGGCCAGCGCGGTTGTTGTTACACGGTGGAACATCGGCAAGAGGTTGCTTGCTCGTTTGCCTCATGCTCAGTGTCCTCAGGGAGTTAGTATTTTCCTCCTGTTTGGATTTTGCAGTGTCTATGGTGTCGGTAA